TGTGTGTGTGTGTAAGGGGGGGTCATGTGTTCATGTCCTTGTTCATCTGATGTATGCATAATATGTTTGTATATATATATATACGTTTTATGTTTTTGTGTACGCTTGCATAAAAATATGTGTGTATTTCATGTCTGTTTGTTCGTGTGAGTGTAATTCCAATCTCACTCCGAGTGTCTAGAAAGAAACTCCTGTTCCCCATCTGCCGTCTTTGTGATATGTTCTATGACAATGTCCGAGGCCACAGGGTACAGCATGTGCTTCTCCTTGGGGTGGATTATGAGTCCCTTAGGAACCTGGGGACAATACGTTATGTGTGATGTCGTGGTGAAATCATTCGCTCGTCAGGAAAATGAAATTGAAGAAAGTGATTTTTTCCCCGCCTGTTGTTTCTCCTTTTAAAAAATTGCTTTTTGTGATGTTTGTTGGTGTTGGTGTTACTGTAGTTGCTGCTGTTGTTGTTGTTGTTATTGTTGTTGTTGTTGTTGTTGTTGTTGTTGTTGTTTAACACTTTTCATAATCATGTAAAAACACGTGAGTGGGATTTTTACTAGGGAAAATATGTTGATTAAAGGCACACAAAAACTGCTTGTTAAAATTATGAAATCAAAAAAGAAAAAAGGACCTGTTTCTGTTTGTTGGGCATCTTTTTATTAATTTGTGCTTGGCCAGACATTCTTTTATGTCTAGCCTAACCACTAGGCTACCGGGCTCGTAATCGTGAGATTGTAGGTTTGATGGTTCGAGCCTCAGCTCGGTTTGACGTTGTGTCCTTGGGAATTTCCTATTTGGCTGGGTCTTTAAACTCGGAGGTCCCGCCTATTAAATAACCCAAATAGTGTTAATAGGGGCGTTATATGTATACCATCTCAATATGTTTTAAAAGTCCATTAAAAAACACTGTTGTGTGTGGGTTTTCCTTTGAAAGAGGTGACGAGAGGCATTCAAAATATCAATGTGTGAGGCATCGAGGTGAAATCAGGCGTTCGTCAAAATAAAGAAATTGAAAAAATATCC